GTACGGCCGTATTGAACATTTTGAACTTCAATACGGCCGCACTGAACTCAATACGGCCGTATTGAAGTTTCTGGACTTCAATACGGCTGCATTGAATTCAATACGGCTGCACTGAACTTCAATACGGCTGCACTGAACTTCAATACGGCCGTATTGAGGTTTTTTGAACTTCAATACGGCCGTATTGAATTCAATACGGCCGTATTGTAGTTCAAAACTTCAATACGGACCGTATTGACCCCCAGAGACCGTATTGAGCCTCATCCCTATAAATATGACGTCAATGGGACGTCATTCTACACTTTTACACACAGTTTTAACCCTCTTCTTGAGTATTCTGGGTTTTTTTGAGCAGTGCTCTGCCTAGAAATCACTCGGAGAGTTGATCCGACGAAGTTCTTGAGTCACGAGCCATTTGCTTGAGTCTCGAACCTAGTCGAAGGGAAATCCTCCGGATTTCCATAGTTAAAATTTTATAGGAGGGAGCGAGCGGTCTTGTAGAGGGAGGGAACGCCAAAACGCTTCCCAATTTCTGTCAAGATATATAAGAAAGCACGCTTCAAAGGTTTATCTCTTTAAAGTCCCTTCTTTTACCGCTTTCTGTGTGTACATATTTAAACTGTCATCATGTAGATAGTTAATTTATAATTGCTTAGAATAAATAGGGGTAATTTAGTAATTTCGCACTATTATTTTTAAATAATCTGTCATAGGGAACCCGAAAGGGGCGCTGTGGGGTGCTAACACCTTCCCCACGCGTAACCGACTCCCTTACCCGACTCTGGTTGTAATGGCCGAAGTCGATTTTTGAATCGATTGCCTTAAACTTCTTTTTCCAATGTTTTGAGTAAAACATTGGTGGCGACTCCATGAACCCTTCCTTTTTATGAAAACCGCTAATCTATGGAGGGTCCCGCTTGGGATTAACATGGATTGGTGAGCCTTTTAATAAAATTGCTCGTTTGACGAGGTCTCAGTTTGAGAATAAGTCATTCTAGCAATCCATATTTTTAAACAAATAAAAGAGTCCAACCATCCTTCGCGAATGCCGAAAGCCCGTTTCGGGCCGGTGGCGACAAGGTTGAGCCTGAAGAGACTTGTCTATAAAATAATAATTGGTTGTTGAGCTTGGAGAGGCTTGTTTGTAAAAGAATACTTGTTTTGAACCTAGAGAGGTTTGTTTGTAAAATAATACTTTTTTTGAGCCTAAAGAGGTTAGACTATAAAAGAATACTTGGTTGTTAAGCCTGAAGTGGCTTGTTGCTAAAAGAATACTTGGGTAGTTGCTTGAAGAGGCAAGTCAAAGAATACTTAAGGTTGAGCCAAAAGGGGCTTGTTAAAAGAATACTTGTATCTTTGTTAAAAGATAGTGAAACTCATGTTGTTTGGATTGAGAATTGGATGTAGTCTTAGTGATTGAGGTGCACTAGTATAAAAATACTCAGTGTTTTATATGACTACTCTTCTTGCTTCATCTGATTGTTTTTCTTGCTTCATCTGACTAGCGTTACTACTTCACTATAGAAAACGTATGAGTGTTTGGTATATACTAGTTAACTCCCCTTCTAGTGTTTATCTTATCTTCACAAAGTCTCATATCAACTTCCCAACCAAAGTTATATTCTGATGGCACGCGACATGTAGCCATAAGCCCCCTAACCGCCTATATTTTGACATTTTCTTCCACCTTACCATGTGTAAAACTTTGTTTGACTGATCCTTCCAAACAAAGGAGTGAACACACCTATCTAAAGAATTAAAAATACCTTGAGGAAACCCTTGAAGCTGCATCTGATAAATAGGAATGGTTGATAACATTGAGTTAGTCAAAATCACTCTTCCTTGCTTATTAAGAAGACAACTCCTCCAACTAACAAGTTTTCTTGAGACTTTATTCAAAGTGTCTAGATAATCTGACTTCATCCCCCTACTACGAAGCATCTCGAAGCCAAGATAAGTACCTAACTTATCAGTTAAATAGATCTAGGTAAAATCGTGAATGGATTGTAAGTGTATTCCTTCCACACCATTGGAGGCAAAAGCATGAGATTTCTCCACACTAACTCGCATTCCAGACATGAAACAAAAATTCTCCATAACTTAAACAACCAGTATAACTTGAGGCAACATCGCCTTGGAAAACAAAAGAACATCGTCTATAAAAAAATGGGAAATATTAGGGTCATTCTTAAACAATTGGATCGACTTCCATCCTCCAACTTGAACCATGTGGGATATCAAAGCACCAAATATCTCTATACATAAGACAAAAAGGTAAGGGGACAAAGGATCCCCTAACAAAAATCTCTAGTAGGAGCAAAACTACTTGTTTCTCAACCATTTTAGAGAAGTAATAGATGTGTTGAAGACACACTATTCATAATAAGGGACACAATCATTTCTAAAAAATAGAAAAGCCTAAGACTTTGCTTTAGAAAATCCAAATCCAGCTTGTTATATGTTTTCTCAAGATCTAATTTAAAAATCATATCTCATTCCTTTCTCTTATTAAGCTACATAAAGTGAATAACTCCTAGAGAATAATAGCATTGTCTTTTGTAGTTCCGCCCAAATAAAACTGCTCTACAAGGGGAAAACTATCAATTTGAAAAATGGTCTCAACCTATTCACCAACACATTTGAAATAAGCTTATGAACAACATTACCTTAGGGATTAACACAATCAATGTATCTACAAGTCAAATGTACCTAAAGCAAAAATGTTAGCCACAAATCACCCACGGTATTTTAGAACATTTTGAAAAAAAAGTTAGAAGCCATCCAAACTAGGAGATTTATACGATTTCATAATAAAGAAGACAATATGAACCTCATCCTTAGAATTTGACTAAGTAAGGGAACAACAAGCTTCCATGGGGAGAGGGCAACCAACTCCAATAAGAGGCGAGCCACCCAAACTCTCTCTAGAATAGAATAAATCCTTGAAAAATTTCAAGGCCTCATTTGTGCATAACCACCAGAAGAAAGGCGAAGCCCATAGGTTTTATTTATTTTCCTATGCACAACAATTTGAGTATGAAAGAAGGAAGTGTTGCAACTACCAAGGCAAATCCACTTCTTTTTGGACTTCTAGAACCAAAGAGTTTATTCTTGAAAATGAATCACCTCATACTGATTAAGTAGTTGGGTTTGAAGGATGAAAAGCTAAACCGAGTCCACCCTCTAAAGCAACTGTCGAATGCACTTAAACCTAGCCTCCAACTCCTTCTTCCTCCCAAAAATGTTCCCAAAAGATGTCTTGTTAAAAGCTAAGGAACCTTCTAGAACATTGAGAAGGGATTTAATAACATTCACATTTTGAATAATAGTAGGATAGACATCGTGGGTACATCATGGGTAAACCCTCTTTTTAAACAAGAAATCAATGAAAAATTAAATTTTAAATTGTGTATGAAAATTAATAATTTTTAAAACATAAAAAATAAATTTAAACATATTTTTAATCCTTATAAAATAAAAGTTTTGAATTTTATTCCTTATAACTATTTGTTTTTATATATTTTTCATCTTCTAGATTTTAGTCCAACATTTAATAAAGAGACATGTAAATAAGTTTAAAAATATTATGTGCTAACATATTACTATATATAAATACTAGAGTCGTCATCAAATAATCACTTTACCTTTTATAATTAATAAAAGTCACATAGTAGGAATAAAAAAATTATTTAAAACTTTTGAGGATGAAAACTAAAAATATTTCTAATAAAAACTAATGTAAAAAAACATAAGTTTTTTAATAATATATTATGCATAACAATGACATATACCTGTCGTAACCTGAAAAAGTTTGATCTTACGACTAAATGGTTTGGACTATACCTTTTGAAAAATTTCATCAATTAGGAATGCTCGGAAACCAAACTAATCCTTAATTAATGGTTTTGAAAGATGATTTGTAGGAGTCGCCACCAATGTTTTACTCGAAACATTGGAAAAATAAAATGTTTTCAAAAATTCAATAATGGCCTTGATAACCAAAATTGGGTTCGGGGGTCGGTTACGTGAAAGGAAGGTATTAAGCACTCCAACAACGCCCTTTAAACGGTACCCTATAATGAAGGTAGCGTAATAAAAATTAATAGTTTAAATACTTGATCCCCTTTATTAATGATTATTTACATGACATTTAAATTACCCAATTGACCCTAGAATATCTACATGATTGTTTTTATTATAACAATATTTAAAGTAAAAAGAGGTGAAAGGTGGAAAGAAAGATTGATGAATAATACCTCGCAGCAAGCTTTGTTAATGTTCTTCAAATATGGGAGATTTGAGGCATTTTTTGGCTGCCAGACACAGTACACGGGTACCTCACAAGTCTCAAGAAATACGAAAAAAGACAGAGAGAGAAAGGGAATTTTCAAGCTGTATGGAGTTCCGGACAAATTTTTTCAGCCCTTGGTGCAGTGCCCAAGTCGTCTATTTATAGACATCAAACCTGACTAGAACGACCTGTTCTGATTTTGGAACGACCTGTTCCAATTTTAGAACGGCCCATTCTGAGTCAGTCTGTTATGTGTTAAATTTAAATCTAGAACGACCCATTCTAATTCCAGAATGGCCCGTTCCAGGCTTGCACTTAACTCATAACAACCTATGTTGGAATAACCCATTCTCAGCTAGGTTTTTCAAGCCTTTTTAATAATTTGGAACGACCTGTTCTAGTTTAGGAACAACTTGTTCCAACTTGGGAATGGCTTGTTCCGATTTTGGAATAGCCCATTATGGGCTACTGAAATAAACTTTTTGGGCTTCAGGCTCCTTTGCTGTCATATCATGTTGTTTCCATACTTTGGGAGTTCCTTCCTTTCATAATAGAGGTCCATTTCCTTGTTTCACTACTACAGGATGCATTATCTACATCGGTTCTGTGAGGTCATCTACATCGGTTTTAAAACCAATGTAGAATAGGGCGACTTAGAAATACATACACTTCTACATTAATTTTGAAATTGATGTAGATTTGTACATGAAATATCAACATATGTTTTGCATAGATCCATAAAATTCATGAACACAGTTTTCTTTGTGCCTTCACGAAGAACATGAGGAGGCCTCATAACTGTCCTCCCCGATCTCCAGCAAGTTCAACATTATTCTCATGTAGAATGTTAAACACCCTGCCAAGAAGATGCACAATAACACATGAGGATCTAGGATAAAAATGTTTGGGAAGGGTAAGGCAAGATAAGCAACTTCCAAGTCAAGAAAGAATAGAATATAGCATAAATGATTTAGACAATATATTATGGCTTTATAATTGGACACCAGCCAACAAAAAATCCATTTGGATGGTTTAGTGTTAAAAAAAACCAACATTTCTTGATCCAATAAGGATAACCAAGGCACACAAATCATTAAATAAAATGCTATCACATTAAAGATTTCAATCATTTAAAAGAAATTATAAAATCAAGATCAAACCCCCCAACCACCCTATGAAACATATATGGAAACGTAAAAGGGCAAATCCACATAAACCACAAAATAAATAATAAATAATCAGAATTAGGGATGAAAATTAAAACCAACTCAGCAAAACTTTTCAACTAAGTGATGTAGAAAAAATCAACATAAAACAAGCTTCACTTAGGCATTTCAATCACAGAGGTCGCTATAGAAGCATTGCAGAAAAGTAATTAACATACAACAAACCTCCTCATATTCATAATCACGATCACTCCCTTCCCAAGGATAACGAGCCTGAGGAGCAACTATTTCTCCTTCATCATCTTCAGCGTGATCTAAATGCCAAAAAGGATTTTCAATAATCAATGTTGAATAAGCTTTACTCAAGACATTACTTGTTGTCATAATAAACATGATCCAATATTCACACACAATATTTACACAATTATACGCTGCTCACCATCCAAATCTTCAATGGAATCTCCACTCTCATCATTCAAGTTACTAATTTTAAAAGGTGCAATCCATAGTTTAGAAATTCAGGCATAAGATGGTATTGCCACAACAAATTGGAGTGTCAACTAATCAACGTGGTTGGTAACAAAAATATGCACAAAACAATACCATCATAACAATTAGCAATTTACAAAAACAAAACTTCAAAAAAATGATTTTATGGCCTTACACCCAATCAAGCAAAACACAATGAGGAAGCATTTTTTAGTTACAGATATTAACAAGAAAATACACTCACTTCTAGAACCTCCTTCATCTCATTTTGAGTTTCATCTGCCATGATTGCTGCAACACAAGTAAAATTTGTACATGATTAGAACTAAAAATACATATAAAAATAATAATAAAAAGTAAGTAAATAGAAAATAATACAAAAAATTAAGCTCCAAATATTACTAAATCAAATTGCTTTCCAAAGTTAAGAAAATGCTACCAGAGAATCACTTAAGGGGAAACCCATAACACTCTTTATCTACCATGGAAAAGCCCTAAACTCCCAAATGCTATAAATCATAATCAATAATCCAAAATAAAACGAAAAATAATTATACAAAAAGCGCTAGAGAACTTGCTGATTGAACCGTTAAATACTAAAAACAAACAAACTTTTTGACCTAATTAATCTAAACAAAAAAAACCTCAATTGTTAATGCGCAAAATACATAAGCCACTTTCAACACTAGTAGCCAGAAAACTCCCATACACAGAAATTACAAAAATCACAAATCCATACGCAACTAAGTGTCTTGTGTGTTCTAAAAATCTTAAAAAAAAACGATTTCCAAACAATAATAAAAGAAAACCTAACATGCCTTAAAGATACACAACCAGATTCCTAAAGCACACATCGAATCCGATAACTAGAAAGGGAGGAATAAAAAGTAGAAAGAAGAACCGATTTCAGACATCGAAGAATGGAGAACACCAAAATGATGGAAACCGAATTGGAGCAAAACATGATAGAAACAGAAAAATCAAAGGAATAGAAAATAAATGAAATCAAAAGCAAAACCTGATGAAGCGAAGAAAAAAGGTTGAAATGAGGATTTAGGGTTCCATCCACAGTTTGTGTGCACTTCTTTGCAGAACAAGATGATGCTTCGAGAAAGGGTTCTTCGGGGGGAAAGGGCTTGCGCAAGTTAGCAAACAAAGACAACAAGATCATGCTTACGATTATAGAACAATGAGGATTCAGGCCGGGTTACGCGCACTTTCTTTGCAGAACAAGATGATACTTCAATAAAGAGTCATTCACAGAGAAAGGGCTCTTGCGCGGGTCATCAAATGCTTCTCAATACTACATCGGTTACTGGGTGAACTGATGTATATCTATTTATAATTATTCACAAAATTGCCACCGCGCATTCAATACTACATTGGTCCTAGTAAAAATGATGTAGAATACTCAATATTTACATCGGTCCCAGTCATAACCGATGTAAATATGCTTTATATTATACACTTATTTATGTTAAAAGGAAACAGAGAGGAAGAAAAGGAGACTTATGTAATATTCATTTTTCATTTTCTCAACTGATTCAGAATAAACCTTACAAGTATTTACATATTTTCTTTACACTCTAACTAACTCTAATACTCCCCTCAAACTTAAGGTGGAGACAAAGTATACACTTTAAGTTTGTCTCGAAGATTACAAAAGAACATAGATGAAAAAGGTTTTGTTAATATATTTTCTACTTGAGCATAAGTTGAACATGTTGAACAATCAAATTTTTAGAAACAACTTTCTCTCGAACAAAATGTATGTCAAGTTCCATGTGTTTAGTGCGAGAATGCAGCACTGGATTGTGAGATAGAGCAACAACACCAAGATTATCACAGTACAGAGTTGGAGTGTCAGAAAAGATGCCAAGTTCCTTTAACAAGGATTGAATCCATATAATTTTAGCAGTAGCATGAGCCATACTTCGATACTCAGCTTCAGTGCTAGAACGAGCAACAAGAGATTGCTTTTTAGAGCTCCAAGAAACTAAATTGGGACCAAAGAAAACACAAAATCTAGAAGTTAACCTGCGATCATCCGGATCACTTGCCCAATTTGCATCACAAAAAACTTCTAAAGAGTATTTGGTGCTAGAAGTTGCTGGTTGAAGAAGTAAACCATAGTTAATGGTGCCTTTGAGATAGCGAAGAATTCGTTTAACAGCTCGCCAATGACTGTCAAGAGGATTACTCATGAATTGGAACACCTTGTTAACACTATAAGCAATTTTGGGACGAGTCACTGTTGCATACTGCAGCGCACCAACAATGGAACGAAAAAACTGTCCATTGTCAAAAGACGTTCTATTTAATGAATACAAGTTTCCTTATCCCAATTTGTTTCCACCATTGTCGACATCATCACAATCTTCAACTTATTCCTCTATCATTCCTATAATTACATCTCCTTCACAACCATCTCAAGCTATCAATACTACCACTTCATCCTCACCCTCCACTGGTGATTTACCATCTACATCTACCACTGTCCAGCCTTCTTGTACAAATACCCACCCCATGCAAACTCGTGCAAAATCTGGAATCTTTAAACCACGTGTCTTACTGACTCATATTGAGCCTACAACAGTAAAACAAGCCTTGTCTAGCCCTCATTGGTCAGTTGTTATGCAAAATGAATATACTGCTCTCATAAATAATAATATATGGTCTTTGGTTGATCTTCCTCTTGATCGGCATACCGTTGGCTGTAAGTGGGTGTTTAGAATAAAAGAAAATGTTGATGGTAGTATTAATAGGTATAAAGCTCGTCTTGTTGCTAAAGGATTCCATCAACAACAGGGTCTTGGTTTCACATAGACTTTTTCACCGGTTATTAAACCTGTCACCATTCGTATTATCCTTACTTTGGCTATTACGAATCACTAGGACATTCAGCAAATTGATGTGAATAATGCCTTTTTAAATGGTCATCTCACAGAAGACATTTATATGGAACAACCTCCCGATTTTGAAGTCTCAAACAAAAAGTTGGTATGCAAGTTAAATAGAGCTCTCTATGGCCTTAAACAAGCACCACGTGCTTGGTATGAACGTCTTACCTCAACTTTGCAGCAGTTTGGATTTGTGCCCAACAAGTGTGATCCCTCACTTCTTATCTACTACAAGAATAATGTTTGCTTGTATGTCTTGATCTATGTTGATGACATTATCATTACAGGTTCCTCCCGTTCTCTAATTATTGATCTCATTCACAAGTTACATGTTTCTTTTGCTCTTAAGAAACTTGGAATCCTTAAGTATTTTCTGGGTATTGAAGTTAAGCATATGTCCTCTGGCGCTGTTCTTCTTTCTCAGTCAAAATACATCCATGAGTTATTATCCCGTACCAACATGCTTGAAGAAAAAGGGATATCATCTCCTATGGTGAGTAATTGCAAGTTAAGCCGTTTTGGCTCTGATACCATGTTAAAAGGAAACAGAGAGGAAGAAAATGAGACTTGTGTAATATTCGTTTTTCATTTTCTCAACTGATTCAGAATACACCTTACAAGTATTTATATATTTTCTGTTACACTCTAACTAACTCTAATAATTTACAAAAATGCCACCGCATTTGATTTCTACATCGCTTTTGCCTAAACCGATGTAGAATTGACGACATTAAACAATAACTTTCTAGTAGTGTTTACAGATCCGGACGAAATTGAGTATCTACAATACCAAAATAATAATTCTATCACTTGCTGAAATTTAATATAGGTTGTATTTGAATGACCACTTGTAACATCCCAAATGGCCCATTTTTACTTTCCAAGGGACTAATCATGGAAGGAACACTCTCTTGTCACTCGGTGTAACGGTGGTTTACGTCGAAAGAAACTTCTTCACACATGTAATGTAATAGTGTCACAATTTATGGTTTCCACGCAGAAAAAACTTCACAAACCTGTTCATACTTGTCTGATGACTCGGATTAGTGTATTATTCTTCCTTTTAAATTATTGATGTTAAGTTTATCTTATTGACATCACATGAAATTACCGATCAAGGGGTCTAGTCAACACATGAAACGGGTCAACGTCCTCTTATGATTCCTATTTCGTTTTTATCATAGGTTACATAATCAAAGATACTAAGATCAAATGTTTTGCTTGCACAGGAACAATACCAATTAACAAAGATTCTGAATGGCTTTACCAAGTAACCCTTATGCATTACTTGAATTAAGTAGATGTAAGTACAGACATTGTTTTCCTTAATTACCTTCTTAATGAACAAGCTGAAAGTAGTAAATAGAAAAGATAAGGTAATAGTACAAAGCTGAAATTTAAAAAGGATCATAGAGCTCCTTTTTAAATTTGGCTAAAGGTGCTTTAACTTCACGGGAAATTCATTGGAAATTCAATTTTTAATTTCTAACCAACTAAAGGTGCTTTCACCGGAAATTCATTTTTAACCAACTCCAAAGGTGCTTTCACTGGCAATTCAGTTTTAACCAAATCTGAAGGTGCTTTCACTGGAAGTTCGTTTTTAACCAATTCCAAACGTGCTTTCACTGGAAACTCGTTTTTAACCCAATCCAGATAACCTCCTCCCATGTTGCTCACATCCTTAAAACCCTGACAAATTCATATTAAATTAATACAAGTTGGTTTCCTCATCAATTGGTTGTCAGTTGTCACAAACACTAGCAAACTGAAGGATGCAAGGAAGAAAAAAAGTAGCATGTATTTCTAGAATTTAGAGTAGAGTTGTCAAAATGGGTGAGTCTGACCCATGTGGATTGGTTTATCTTGACCCACTTTAAAAACGAGCCAACCCAATCGGCCCACTTTTGATTTTATCAAAATTTTTCTAGCCCGGCCCGGCCCACCACGGGTTGGTGGGTTATACGGGCCAGCCCACCAAAAATTTAAAAAAATTCAAAATTTTAAATTAATTATAAATTAACATAATAGTTATAAAATTAGCATTATTAATAGCCATAAGTCATAACTCATCATACAAAATTAAATACAAATCATGATAAAGTTCAAAATAAAAAATTTTAATATCCCATCATACAAAATTAACTACAAATCATAATTAAATTTTCATTGCAAAAAAAAAATTGGTGGGCTGGTGGGCTACTCGACCCACCATAGGTTCAGCCCAGGTAGGCCGGATTTAGATATACTCACCTATTATAAAACTTTCAATTTTTTTTACCCTGCTCGACCCGTTTTCAAGATGGGTCGGGTTGGCCCACGGGCCACAACTCATTTTGACGTCTCTAATTTAGAGTATAACAATATCTAGTTGAATAAATTTATTTAAAAACACTTTTAGAAAAAAAAAATAATTTTTTCTATAAAATACAACTAATTTATGCATAAATTAAAAACGTAATTTTGAAAAAATTAAAGATAAAACTCAAGCATAAATTAATTCAAATTATTATTGAAAACTTATTTTATCTTACTTTTGTAGTTTCTTTCTCTCTTAAAATGCTTTTAGAAAAATCTATGCAAACATATTTTAAACTATAGTTAAGTAGAATTAATAATTTAGTACTTACTTCGGTCAGAAGATCAGCAGTTGCATAAAGAGATCTAACTCCACTTTGACAACCCTATATACAGATCCATTTCATAGAAAAAGTAAGAAATTTCAGCCTTAATAAAAGCATCCAAAGAACAGGTAAAAGACACATATAGTAGTTCTGAATTATATAATTAATTTTTTATTAATCAAGAAAAAAAAAAAAAAAAAAGGTTACCACGATGATGCGATCTTCTTTCTTGCAAGCAGATGAAACCTCCTTAAGAAACTCCGGGTTCTTCACCCTGCCTGGTGTTCAAAATCACAAGATTTTACATTCTGAAAATAAAATTCCCAATTGCAACCTAGCAAGATTTATATCCCAAAAATATGATCATGTTATTGCCTAAGTAGATATCACAAATTCCTTACCTTGTGGTGTATTAAACATGTAGGGAATGTTAATGATCTTCTCTGCATCCACATGCCCTTTCTCGAACTCTTCCACTGTCCTGTTAATTACCAAAAAAAAAATGGCTCTCTGAAGAAATAAATACCATTAAAGAAGACCCAGAAATTCAACCAATAAATTGATTTCCCTTCTGAATTTTGAACCAACAAAACAAAAAACAGGACATTTGTTACCTGACATCAAGATAAACATGACTGGTCTGGATAAGACCCTTGGCTGCTACTACATCAACGGTGATAACCTCTGGTCCCGAGCTACAGAAAACCGAAAAAAGAACAAATAAAGACAGCCACACAAACACCACCCATGATGATACGATAAATTATTTTTTCATAATATTTTATTGTTTAAGCAAAAGAATTCACGAATGATGAAAATTTCTTAAATTGAGAACCCCGATTCAAGGCTATTCTTGCATGATAAATCTGTATAAGAAATTACATAAAAAACATTGTCGTATTATAGTGGAATAGTAGAAATAAAGAAGATATAATATTATAAAAACTTATTGTATAAATAGTATATCTTTTAGTAAATTATGCTACATGTAACATGTACTGGGTATGATTCTGAAACTTTATATAAGCAAAACATTGGAGAAGTAATCCACAAACCTTTCATTTTCAATAGAACCCATGACGAGAAGTGGCTTTAGCTAAGAGAAGTTGGGTAATATGGGGGTTATAGTTTGTTTGTGTTTGGTTGTCTAAATAAAAGGAATAAAGAGGTGAATATATAAAGGGTAGGGAAAATGCAAAAATAGTGGGAGAGACTTAGCTTATGTATCTGGACCAGCAATGGTTTTATGATACAAGGTGTTGTGTTCGCGAACGTAAAGCTTCCAACATATTTATGTGTGGATAGGTTGAGTGGGTGTTTGCTTGATTGCTTTAAATAAATAAAAGTGATTCAATTGCGTGACGCGTCAGATTAGTCGTGGTGTGGGTGTCGGATTCCAATAATTCTTTTCATATAATTCTTTTAAACTATATTCACTTAAATACTTTGGATTCACATAAGAACGGTAAAAGAGAAATGTAATAGAAAACAAAAAAAAAAAAGGTGAATTTATAAGAATGAAAATAAAATAAAAGAGAGTTAGGTATGTAAAAATAAATAAATAAAAATCATACTTTAATTTTAGAACCCTAAATTATTTACTTTTTTTTTTAAGACATACTTTTGAAAATTTATATGTGGCACAAACTTTGAATTCGAGAAGCAAATCTTTCTTTTCCTTATCACTTATTCCAATATTCTGGTTTTTTAATGGGACAAACTTTGACACTAATTATATGTCGTAATGATAATGCATATCTAATCACGTTATTTAATTAATTGTAAACACTTCTCATCACAAGTCTAAAGTTTAGGTCTACATTGTTTTCCATACAAATTAGAATTAGATGTCAAAAGCCTATTATATTTTATTGCATTTTTAGTGTACTTAAGTATTATTAGATTTAGATTGATCATAATATTAGTCCGTTTTTGACAAAATAAAATTTCCAATTTATTGTAACACATGTTGGTCCCTGTTTACTAGAATTTAAAAGGTGGTTGAGTAGATTTTTTCCTAAAATGACTCTATTTTCAAAATTTTGACCTTAGCCTTCTAAGAAATTCAATACTCAACCTTTAATCAATTTGAATTAACAAATTACAGTAGATTACAAGGTACAATACCAATATATCATAATTTCAATGTTAATGCAACGAATTAGTCACTTGTAATCAAGGTTAATTTTATATTACCATCTTCTTAGTCAATTTCAATTACAAGAATAGTATTCAGAGTATGTATGGTAATTGAAACAACATATCTCATAAATCTTTGAATTCTTTAATCAAATTTATAATAAGATTATTCAAGAGATATAGGGTAAGAATATAAAGAACATAGAAATTTATACTGGTTCAGCCATCCACTTGGCCTACATCCAGATTCCTCTGATTTAGCACCCCACTAAATCAAAGATCATTCACCATAATATTGTTTACAAATACCATGCACACACAATATTACAAGAATGCTAACACACATCAATCTTGACACTACAAGACTGAAAATCATTCAAATTTTTGTACCCCACAAAAATTACTTTATAAGTCCCACTCAACATTTCAATATCTCTTATTGAGACACCTTATCTCAAGAGATACACCATACAAAACGAAAAATATAGATTAAAAGATCATAAAGATATCACCTATTTAATTTGAGTAGATATTGATCTTTCACAATTGCATTCACTTCTTGAATTTCTTTTTTCAAAAACACATGTTCAATCTTTGCACTTCTAGTATTTTAAAAACTATTTCTTTTATCAACCTTTAATTCTTGTTTTTGAAATTATTCTTTTTCTTTGATGTTATTTTTCAAAAAGGTTTTCTTTTAATTTTATAAAAGATAGTTATTTAAAGTGCAAGACGTAATTCAGTTATAAACAGTCATAATAGAAGTAATTTGTTACCTGATATGGTAATTTGTCACCAACTCTTTAAAACTAAACTAAGAACATAAAAGAGTCAGGATAAGGGAATTGTCAGAACCCAAAAAATTTCGGTCTTACTCGCGAATGGTTTAGACTTTCATTTTAAAATTTCATTAATTAAGGAATGCCCGGACACTAGACTAATCCCTAACTAATGGTTTTGAAAAAAAAAAGTTCATGGAGTCGCCACCGATGTTTTACTCAAAACATCGAAAAAAGAGGAAAAGAATTTTAAAATACCAAAATAGCCTTTACAACTAGAATTTGGTTCGAGGGTCGATTAAGCATAGGGAAGGTGTCAGACACCCTACAACGTCCTGAATCGATACCCTATAATGAAACTAGCACGATTGCAAACAATAATTTAAATACTAGGTTCCCTTTTTATTAATAATTATTTACATATTAACATGATTTGCCCTAAAACGCCTACATGATTGCTTTCTTTTACAACAGAAAGGATAAGTAGTAAAGAAAGATACCTCTTAAAATGAGATTTTATATATACTTCCAATGTAGTAAATTTGAGGTATTTATTGGCTACCTTTCACACTTCAAAATGCCTCACAAATCTCAAGAAATACAACAAAAAGTAAGAAAAGCATTCTATATTTTAGAGGGACTATTCAGAGACTAAAAATGTTTGGCACTGAGCACTGTGCACGAGCCTACTATTTGAAGGCACAAAAATCCACCAAAATGGGTCGTTCCGAATTCAGAACGGGTTGTTCTAGACTTTTTTGTTACATGTAAAATTTGAACCTAGAATGGTCCGTTTCTAAAGCGGAACGACCCATTTTGGCTTTGTGTGACACCCTTACTACCCCAACACATATAGCGTAATAATGTAATTAAATTAAGGAAATAAATTTTTCAACACTGGTAAAAGGGTTCACATAAAAACCTTCACAAATGTTCTTCAATATCCAAAATGATTGAAAATGAACATTGGAAATCAAAACGTAAGAGTTTACAAATTATTTTTAAAGTAATAAGTACAACTCCAAATCCATATCAAAATCCATGTCCTAGAAATCATCTGTCCCAATGTCACAATATCAGAGCATACCCACAATTCAACCGTTGGCATTCTAGATGTCACTCATAGCCGAATCTTCCTCACCTAAAACATCCAAAATTTCACGGTGAGAAAAAAAAACATCTATATGTAAAGCACACAAGGAAAAACACAACATAATCTCATCAATTATTGAAGTCTTTACAAGCATATCCATACATTCTAATTCTATCAATCATGCATCATATGCACATCACAATTTCACAATCACACCAGTCTATCACAAATCTTGCAATTAACACTATGCCAATGGTCACGCCACCTCAAGGTCGTTCCACTCTAAACATAAGTGATACATATTAATTGTCTCACTCATCCCACACTATGCTAGGGGCATGCCATCTCTGTAGCATCACTTACCCAGGGTCGTCTCATCCCTGGTCATATGTGTGAGGAACCACAATCACATCACAATCAAAATCATCACAAATCTTACTATGTCAAGGTCACGCTACCCTTCAAGCAATTCACCATGAATACACATCCATAAGAATAATATAACAATAATATTTATAAATTAATATAAAACCCAATTAATTCACCAATTTAATACAATATTAAATCAAATAGTAAAACCCCCAATTTTTCCAAAAACCTAACTCACAGGCACTTTTCTACAAGTTCGTTCTCTCCCAGATCATCATTCTTACAAATTAAATATATATTTCTAATCCTCAACACATACAAAATCTAATGGGATCATCAATTCCTCAAACAGAAATAATTATAAAATTACCCATAATTCTAAGGGACTCTTTCTCTACCCAATCCCCTCATGTAACTCTACATATAAATCTCCCATTTTCCCCTGTACTTGGATAAACAGTAGCTAAAACTAAAATAGAGATCTCCTTGGTCTCCTCCTCTGAGTGCCCCTCGATCTTCAGAGAGTGTAGAAGGAAAAGAAGAGAATGTAGAAGAAAGGAGTCAAAACTGAAAGATGTGCTTTTTGGGAGTTCCAGAGCTTTTTATTTATAGGCATCAAGCGTCGCTGGAACGGCCTGTTTCAAATCCAGAACGACCCGTTCTGGACTCTGACGGCATGTGTAAAATTCACATCCAGAACGACCTGTTCTCAAACCAGAACGGTCCATTCTAGGGTTGCACTTAACCTACAACGGTCATATCTGGAACGACCCGTTCTCAATTTGGGAACACCCTGTTCCCATCTAAAACACTTTTTGTATTTTGGAACGGCCCGTTCCAGTTTGGGAATGGCCCGTTCTGAACTACAAAATCAATCTCGTTTTAGTAGTTTGGAACGGCCCGTTCCAATTTGGGCTTTTGGGCCCTCAAACAATCTGTGAAAATCAGGCTGTTACACTTTAGATTTTCCATGTAACGGACTAGATCAGAATGGGGTATTTTGACCTAGGTTTACATGACTTTTTCTAAGCTTGGAACGGCCTGTTCCAGTTTGAGAATGGTCTGTTCTAGGCTACTAATTCTTGCACTTTGTGTTTTGGATCTCTGGATGTCATGTTAGCCTGCTCTAGTGTTGTTTTTAGGCCTTTAGGAACTTCTTCTTCATGCTGAAAGTCCATTTCCTTGTTTTTGTGCCCTAGACAAAATTAGGTGTCTACAGGAATGTGGTAATCAATTATCCCATGCTTTTCAGAAGCCAGAAATGCATTTCATTTTGTGGTAATCGATTATTGATCATGGTAATCGATTAACACGGTGGAATTCTTGATTCTTCAGGCTTTTCTCAAGCAAGAGATTCTATTTTAACCTATTACCAGCTCTGGTAATCGATTAACATGGAAGATGTTTGACTATCCTTTCAAGTAACAGACTTGGTAATCTATTACCTTGAATGGTAATTAATTAACAATGTTTCCTTGAAAACTCTTGTTTGAATCAAGAAATATTTCTATGTTTAAATACTTGGTAGTAAATTACCTTTCCATGGTAATCTATTATTACTTTATGTTTATACATGGAAATACTAAGTAATCAAGTTTTTGTTTTCTTAAAAGCTTGATACGTTCTTGAATTAAGCATTCATCATCATAATCATCAAACATAAACAAACACACACACACATGCCTATATCTATTAGAATCAATACATTATCCTTTTTCATAGGCATAAACAACATCTATACAATTCAACATCAAAACTAAAACATTATTTAGGAGTCTTCAAGATGTCCCATCATCTCAACAACACACCAATTTATAGGAAATTTCAACATTTTTCCACTTGATTAAAATCAATAGTATAGTTTATAACTAAATTTTTTTGAAAATGATTCTCAAGCTAATAACTCATGATGGCTGCAAAATATACGATCATAAGATACAACACCAA